GGTGCCTCGTAGCAAGATCCGCCACCTCCTGGAGTGTAGACATAATCCACACCGTGCGCAAGTAGTTGGAGAGTGGGCTGCCACGTTATTGATGTATGTATATATATATATATTTATATGTGCATGTATAATAATATGTATGTATATAATATAATACATCATACAAGATGTAAGTCAGTATATGTATGTTTTGTACATACCTTTGTACCTATATACACATATGTTGTTGCATGTGTAAATCATCGGTACATCTATATATTCCGTGCGATAGGCAATATTTATTTCAAATAGGCACGTGACATCTTTCCCCAAACTCTAACACGTTCGCCCACTTGGACGGAGCTTTCTTGACCAAGCATTGTGGTGAGGTTGGCCATAGAAGACCAAACTGCGAAGCATGGCTGTGGCGTTACTTGCAGCTCTGAGATTTTGAAGTAGAATACAAACACATAACATATTTATGGATATTTATGGGTTCAGCCACATTAGCAGCTCATGTTCCAAAGCAAGGGGGAGTTCCAGATTAAGCTATGTCGTTGTCACCTCTCCGGCGCTGCTGCATCTCTCCTCATTCTCGTTGATGTCGAAGGGGGCTTCAACGCACTCATCCTGGCAGGGTGATCTTCCTATAGGTGATGTTCCGGCGGCTTGAGAATGCAAAATTATGTTGGGATGGTTAATGATGTTCATTTTATACCACTATTGCTTCATTGAGTCTTGACCTTGTTGGTAGACCAGCCGGTTCAAAAGAATACATTCCAAAACCAGCCATGTTCAAACAGTGATGGAATACGCACACCATGATAGAAACCACTGACTGTAACTGAAGATATCTTGACTTACCCTCTGGTAAATTAACAGTTCGACCCTGCCAGTCATCGGGCTTGGAAGATGAGTGAAACAGTGAAACCACTCAGAATTGGGTGACTTTTAGGGTCAATTCGCTGGTTTCCGCGTGAAGCCTATTTTGACCTTGTGAGGTTGCTAGAATGTGCCCAGACTGGTATACTCCGGCTTCTGAACGCTCCATTTGACTGATCGACAGCTTCAAGTGCCATGTTTGTTTATGGTCAAAATGTGACGGTGCCAGCATCTTCATAGTCAATGCTCGATTGCAAGCTACAAAATCAACAATGTCAAACGCTAGAATCTCGTCTGTCGTCCCTTCACAGTGGCTGGTTAATAGGGAATTCCCATAATGGATTATATTAATTATAGTAGCTGTCCCCAATATATTGGGTAATATGGGATTATAATATAATGGTTATAATGGTTATATGGGATTATATATATATAATGATAGTCCCCAATATATTGGGTAGCACAATTCCCGGACAAATCATCAACCAACCTTTCTCAGTGGAATACCCCCATAGTTAGAATGGTTAAAACTTCTATCAATGATGATCAAAACATATGAAATTATTAAATCCACATGTTCCACAAAAAAATAGTTTCATCAACCAAAACGGGGTTGGACGCCACTGCACGGGTAGACCTTTGGCTTCGATCCGTAACTTTGACGACGGCCCAGCAGCGTCGACGGCTCCTGCAACATGCTGCAACCATTCCACGCCATAGGCCCAACCTTGTGCTTGTATGCTTATAATGCCTAACACCCCCGAAACTTTGAGACAGCAAAATTATACTAATGAAATATCATGACGTGGTCAAAAGCTAGTTATGTGGGCTGAAGTCCCTCAATAATGTTGCCTCCATTAGAGCTCTGCACTCTCTAGAAAAACCATCGGTATCAGCAAACCTGACAGGAACTGTTTGGAAACACAGTCCCCTTTGATCCAAGGAAACCTACGATCCATGTTCATGCTGAACCCAGGATTTCAATCTGAGATGTCCATTCATTTTTGGTGATCCAGAAAATATCTTATTTGTCCAATTCCTTCTGGGCAAAAAAAACATATATATATATAATATATATATAATGTCAAGTCAGGATTAATCAACACTCCGTTATTAATCAACCTCCTCCTCCATTTTTTTTGCAATTTAAAAACAGGTGGTCCCCCAGGATTAATAAACCGTTTGGCTAGGACATGATTAATCAGCCCCCTTTGCTCAAATCCATTTGTTTATCCACAATTCTTTATAAAAATCATCACCCTGGACAGTATCAAATCTTATGAAATCCAATGGAATCTGATGGGATTCATGAGGTTTTAAGTATCAAATCTTAGGAAATCAAATGGAATTCTATGATGATCTAATTGACTCAAGCCATATCCAATTTTTTATGGTTCAGAGTTCAGAGTTGCTTATTATTAAGGTGGGTTAAAAAAAAAACTAACTAGAAGGTACCCCCCCCCCTTCTGGGGGGTGTTTATTAATCCGGTGTTGGCATTATACAGAATATATCTATTATATATTATATGTGTTGAAGTAATATATTAAGCGCTTCCAGTAGGAAGAGCAATCCTTGGGTATGTCTTGATCTTTTGAGGCCCAGCGGCCCGGTTTTTTCCGGTGCTGCCGGGCCTGCCGTCGAGTTGCAACTACCTGGGGAGTGACTTCCTGGTGTCGCAGCTGCCAGGGGAAAATCAGGGTTGCAAAAAACACATGGGAATTTCATGGATTTTATAGGGGTTTTATGGATTCATAATCTATTTATAATGCTGGTTGGTGGTTGGTATACCTACCCCACTGAAAAATGATGGAGTGAGTAATAGTTGGGGTGATGACATTCCCAACTGAATGGAAAAATAAAATTCATGTTCCAAACCACCAACCAGATTGAATTGGTTTGAGAGAAAATAATGCAAAGAATGGTCCGTAACTTCCTCAACTGATGACATTTTATGTTTTTTTTTTTAATGAAAACCCCATAATATGAAAAGCTACTCGGTTGTAGCCATCATCGATGATGGCCCATTCAAATGCCATATTTGTCAGGTTTCTTCATCAGTTCTATCTGAATCTCGTTGGTTCAGCAAGTCCAGTCGTTTTCTTTGGTCACCCCAATGGAAGCACAAACAGCTACAGCTCTGTCGCTCTGTCCTGCGATGGAGCATGCTTGCTCCCAGTGCAGCCCATGGTGCAACTGGCTGCTTTCAATTTCGGTCCCTGATCCCTGATCCTATGCTAAGATCATGTCTTCTTCAATGCTGTTTTCCTTCAGCTAAGATCTTCACTTCTAGGTCTTGGTCCGGTCCTCAAAAAAAGAAGAAACCCGGTGACCCTTGGAGATGGCCGACCATCCAAATGCAGGCAACTTTTACACTTTTACACATGTGGCTATGAGTCAAAACCCTGGCCCCTAGGTACACTCAAATAGCTGGTCAAGTTTATTCCCCTTAATTAATATTATTGGTAAGTTTTGGCCTGGTATTTCTCATGATTGTGATTGATTCTGGGCTTTTACCATAATGTGATACAAGTTCTTAGTCTGACTCACAAACACATATTCCTGTCTGGTTGCTCATAGATACCCATCACTTTGATTAGGTCATCAGTTCTTGGCACAAAGCCCAAGTTGGGACCACTAACAACCACCACCTATGGGCGCAGCGAGGCCGGCGAACGAGGTGGTTTCCCAAGGAATGGACAGGAAGCCAATGTAGGTCATGAGAAACTACTGATTCACCAAAAACGTACAGACGATATCCCTGAAATTTCTTATGGAACAAAGCTATTGGCTCTCAAATTCTGCTTTGCAAAAGGTACAGTACAGTACAGTATTTTGCGTCGCACAGTGCAAATTTACATAGATTCAAGCTAGATGCGTCACTGCGATTCTAGAAGATACATTTGATTTACCATCCCCAACCAGATTCAGCCAAAAAAACTTGTGATAGGAAGTGGATGATAAGAGCATAATTGTTTATAGTTGCTTTATGTAAAAAGGGTAGTCAATCTAGCTATGGACTATGGACTCACTTAGCTAACTGGAGCACCATTTTTTGGTAAACCAAGTATATAACCATAGCGACATGAACCGCTTTGAAAATGATAGGTACCATCCAAGCCGAGTGCAAGGAACCCAAGCCAAGTCAAGTCGTGTCGGACTCAGGTCGGGGATCCCAAAGATGGTAAAGGTAAAGTTCTCCAAATGTTGCGCCCCAAGCTTTCAGAAACAGCCAGCTATGGTTGGCTTTATCCCATTGAAATCTCATTAAAATCCCATAAATTCCCATGAATTCCCGATTCTTGTGGGTTGAACCAGGTCAACTCAATAGTAAATCCCCATTGAATGTTCCGTTGCTTGGCTTTTACAACTGTGACCCCTAAGGCCCTCGCCAGTCCAAACCGTCGAAGCGGCGTGCAGGATGCCGGGCCATGAGGACAGCAATGGACCTATGTTTTTGCTTAAAATGTTCGAGTCTACATCAAATTATCGCAATTTTAGGGTCTTGAATCTTGAATTTCAACCTATTGTCCGTTGTTAGGGCACCCAACTATCGATCAATCGATTGGGTAAAAGACTGGGGCATGGCTCTCATCATGAAAAACTGTCCAACACTGCCAAAGCACAGTAAAGAGCAGCACCATGGACCGTAAACATCACGGCAATGGAAACAGAAATGCCTGGGATTTATGGATGTGAATGCTGGCCTCCAGTCGACACGTTGCCGTTGCGAGATACTGCAGGCCAGAGTCGTAAAGAACAAATGGGTATAACCATGGGTCATAACCCCCAAGAACTTGGATAAAAGCCATTCATGGTTATATAATGTATGATGTTATATAAATCCACTACAGTGGAACTGCATCACAATGGCGGAGGCATTTGTAATGGGTCATGTTTTCGACCGTTGCGCCCAACGCAGAGGTGTGGATTGTGTATGGCATATTGTTGCATAATATCATCCCCCTAAAATCAACGTCCAACATATGGACAAGAAAAAAAATCCAATACTAAACCAAGCTTCCCAGGGGTCATCTACTGGAGGAAGGGATGTATGACCTGTACCTGTACTGTGTCTTTGATGAAACAACCTTGGCAGGCACCGACCTGCCACTGGACCGCCCCAGACCATCCACTTTTTGGTCCAAAATGCCACGCATTCTGCCGCAGCTCACGTGCATTTGCCCTTGGCCCAAATGAGAATAACCAGCAGGATTGGATGGATTTGGATGGATTTGGGCCATGTCAACCACAAAGAAAACACAACGCAGCGGCAATTAGGCACCTTGAAGACTGCAGGTCGCTGTCCAGTCCGCTCACTGCTTCGCATGCAACATAGGCTCCGGGTACAAAGCCTGTGCGACAGCAGTTGTGACAAAAAACGGGTTTGTGCGGGGAACACGTTGCTGGATCACATAGTCCCTTTCCCCTAAATAATGAACACTCTGGCAGAGACCGGTAGTTCCAAGTGTAGGCGTGTCATTATTAGAGAAGGGGGCGAACTACCTTTTCCAGAAATCAATTAATTAACTAATTGGGCTGTGAGCAAGCCAACGTGCCATCCTTAATCCAATGATTGACAGTCAGACAATGTAGCAGTTGCTGATTGGTTCCATTGCCAAATGAATGAAATTACTGGGAACCAACCTGTGGCCGCATGTTTAACTATCACACAAATCATCAATCAACAAAGAAACACACACATATTCATCAATTATACAATATAAAATATTATTATATACAGTCACAATTCACACACCTATGAAAAACATGGTGTTTTCGTTGGCGTTTTTTTCCAGTCCGTGTTTCGAAACACCCGTTCCCAAGCACGTCACAAGAAGGCCCCAGCAGAGCCGTTTTTCGACCTGCGGCTTGTCGAAGGTCTTCTTGCCCTGCGGTTTGGGCTTGTCCGAAGGCCTGCGACGAGCATCAAGGACCAAGGTCAGCAAGCTATACCTCCAAGGGAATAGTCTTTCTAACGGGAAAATTAAAAATTAACGGGATATAACTTGGGTATATATGAACACCCAGTAAGAGGATATAACTTGGGTATATTCAATATGAACCCCCAATATGAGATAGTCGGTTGTCGGGTTTGACTCGTCGATGTAATTATTCTTTGCTGAAAGGAGGTACGCAGCTAAGAAACAAACAACGCGAAGAGAAACAACAACATACAATAATTCACACATATACACTTATGACACTCCAAATGCCCAAACTCTGATTCACTACTTTGGGGGTGCATCCCACTTAGTGAATTGCTTCTACCCCCAGTTCCATATATATTATGTATATATATATATGATTATATATGATATATGGAATATCACCACTTATATATGTATGGGATTTCATATGGCTTATAGGATTTTATAAGCCACGGATCCGATTCAGCTGCTGGCCTGAGGAAGTCGCCCTTCTGAACCACGGCCATGGTCCTGGATGTCATGGTACCCCAAGTCAGCACCATTTTCAAAAGGCTTGGATTCCAACAAGCCCCAAATGGGTGTTGATAAAATTCTTGAGTTCACCTCTTTGGGCTACAGACATGGTTTGCTACAAGACATATTCAGGCTGGGTCTGAAAAGGAACCCAATGTACCATCTTTGGGATGATGATACCTTCCCCATATTCGTGTTGCAATGGCTGGACATGGAAAGTTGGGAGACGGGTGACGCATTTACCTCCTCGTGCATTCCAAAGCCTCTGCAATATCTGAAAGGTCCAAAAAAAAGGAGCAAAACAATACGGGCATTAAGACTTTAAACTGTGTTTCATGTCCAGCTTGCCCATTGACTGATAGCATTCAATCCAGGGACAATCATCATCAACAATGACTATATATAGTAAGCCATCAAAAGTGCAAGCCCTTACAACCACAATAAAAAAGGTCGGCCACTCCCTGAAGCAACAACGATGTCAGCGACAGCGTCTCCTGAATCCTTGCGCCTCTTCCTTCAACGGAATCATAAATCGCGCATAGGCCTAGCTCAGGCAGTTGGTCCCGAAAATGAGAAGCAACACACTTCCACAAAATTAGATTTGTGCATAACAGGAACTACGTACTGTTGCAGAAACTCTTACACCTGTGGATTTCTCGGAAAAAAACAAGATAAATACCAGAAGTTCAGGCGCGCTTCCTTTTTCAACAGAACCACTATGCAAATCCAGTGGCTGAACAGGGCAAAAAGGTGTCCAAATTCGGCAGCACTGCAATGACAAACCCTATCTAATCCGTCGGTGGATGATGGTGATAAAATGCAATAACATGATAATTGGATAAGGGTAATTAAATCCACTATTGTTGGTGGATAATGGTGAACAACTCCAATCAACAGAATCCTTGGAGTTTAGTCACGTTTGGTCCAGCTCAAATTGGCGATCTACCCCACAGTCTCGGGCATTGTCTTGAGCAACAATGCCTGCTGCCACTGACCCAAGTGAAGCAAAACTGATGGCAGCACCGTTGCAAATGTGGCGCAGCACAGTGTCTGGAGCAAAAGAGGTGTGGGCTGCCACTGGCATCCATGTTCGCAAGCCATGATCACTGCATTGTAGCTAATCGCATCAGGTTCAACCGTAGCTTCAGGCATAGATCCAAAGAGCATCAGAGTTTGCCACCACTGGTGGCATTTTTGGCATGCAATCAAGGCTGAATTGTAGCTAATGACATTGGGCTCAAGTCTAGACCCAGGCATGGCCTGTAGCAATGTCAATGCCTGCTGCCATTGCCCGCCCTTCTCACAGGCACTGATGCCTGTACTGTAGCTGATGACATCAGGAGAAATGTCAATCTCGCGCATGCCATGCAAGAAAGCCACAGCCAAATGCCACTGACCAAACTTTTCACACGCACTGATCGCTGCGTTGAAGCTGGTGACGTCTGGAGACACTTCATGTCCAGGCATGGTGACGAACAAAGCCAGGGCCTGCTGCCATTGCCCACCGTTGGCGCACGCGCTGATGGCGGTGTTGTAGCTGATGACATCGGCTTGGAGCGAAAGGCGCTTTGCCGACTGGAACAAGATCAAGGCCCGTTGCCATGCACGACCTTTGTCCAAAGCACTCAAAACTGCATTGTACGTGATGACATTTGGTGGAATGTTCAAGCCTGGCATTCCTGCTAATAAAGCCATCGCCCCCTGCCAATGAGCACCTTGCTCGCAAGCACTGATAGCTGCATTGTAACTAATCACATCCGGAGCATGTCGTGCTTGGGGCATTGCCTCAAATAACCTCAATCCTCGCTGCCACTGACCACCGCTGGCACATGCACTGATGGCTGCACTGTAGACAATCACATCAGCTTGAATCTCAGCTGAAGGCATGACCTGGAGCAAGGTCAAAGCCTCTTGCCATCGACTTCCTCGTTCGCAAGCACTGATGGCAGCGCTGTAGCTGATCACAGTCGGCTTCAATTTGGCATTGGGCATTGCCTTCAACAAAGCCAATGCCTGCTGCCACTCGCCACCTCGCTCGCAGGCACTTATGGCTGCATTATAAGTAATGGAATTTGGGGCCGTTTTGCCTTTAGGCATTGCCTCCAATAGAGTCAATGCCTCGTACCATCGGCCGTCTCTGGCACATGCACTAATGGCTGCACTGTAGCTGATGACATCAGGACGTTTTTCAGCGATGGTGATTGCTGCAAGTAGAGCCAGTGCTTGCTGCCATTGACCACCCTTCTCACACGCACTGATAGCTGCGTTGTAACTAATCAGATTTGGATAAAGTTCAGCAGAAGGCATTGCCTCGAACAACGTCAATGCCTGCTCCCATTGGCCACCCTTCTCACATGCGCTAATGGCTGCACTGTAGCTGATGACATTGGGATCAATTTTGGCACGAGGCATCGCTTTTAACAATGCCACTGCCAGCTGCCATTGACCACCCTTCTCACATGCGCTGATGGTGGCACTGTAACTAATGACATCAGGAGCAACAATCACCTTGGGCATTGCATCAAACAAAACTAGCGCCTGCTGCCACTTACCCCCCTTTCCACATGCGCTGATTGCTGCGTTGTAGCTAATGACATCCAAACCTATTCTTGCAGCTGGCATCGCCTTGAACAAGGCCAGTGCCTGCTGCCATTGGCCATCCTTTTCGCAGGCGCTAATGGCAGTATTGAAACTGATCACATCTGCTTCCACCTCGACGATGGGCATTTCAGTCAACAACGTCAATGCCTGCGGCCATCGGCCACGTGCCTCACATGCTTTCATGGCAGCACTGTAGCTGAAAATGTTGGGCTGTACCTCTGCCATCACCATGACCTTCAACAAGTTGCAGGCTTGTCGCCAGCATGCGAGTCGACCGCATGAGGAAATGCCAACGGTGTACTCGCGATCAGTTGCTTCGAGGTTCTGCTGCACTGCCAACTTGAACATGTCCAGGATCGACTCAGCCTGACAAAAGCCGTCCCCATCCCCCGGGGAGGTAGCTGGTGATACGGGGTAGTCTCATCCACAAAAAATTGAAGACCTCCTTAGAAACCTTAGTTTAAAAAACTTACCCTCTGTTTATTTAACATAGCCATGGAAATTAGCCCATTTATAGATGGTTTACCTTTTAAAAATGGTGATTTTCCATGGCTACGTTAAATAACCAGATGGTAGTTCAGTATTCGATCTCTTCACTTAGGGTGGCCATATATGCTTGGTATCTAATGTTCAGCATCCCATTTCTTGGTGGTTGACCTGGTGCTGGTGGGTCATAGCGAACACCAAAACAGCTGGTAAATGAAGTTTCATTCATCTTCTTTGGATATATAATTAGTCAACGTATATCATTAGGTACATGATATAGTGTAAATCAATGTATATGTGTATATATATATATATTGTTTGATAACTGATAATATACAGTAGTGTACATCAAGTATATATATATATATATATACACAATTAGGTTTTAACCTAATTCCATACTGATCTGACACTGCCAACAAAACAAGTGTGAGGTAAACCTGAAAATAACACATCCTCAATTTCCTCAGAAATGGGTTGTACAAAGCCTCCAAAAATGGAGGGTTAAAACATTGAAAACAATGATTTGTGGGTCGCTACAGTTGTGGCCATTGATTAGTTTAAACTTGTTATATATAAATGGGATTGTACAATCTATATAAACTGGTATTTGGGCCATAACTGCATCATTTGGAATTCCAAAGATGTTTTTGTCACCACCAGCCTGTTGCCTCTTGGCTTGAACTCCTCGACCTGGCCTTTTTTTGGCCAAAGTCCTGTGATTTTCACAGCCAATATCAGCATCCAAAGTCAGCTATGGCAGCCATGGAAATCAAAAAAAAATCCTTAGGAATTGATCTACAAATGGAGGATTTTGATGGATTTTGCATATCCATGGTTAGTTTACTGGACGGTGGCAGTGGGTCAAAACCTGGTAGCCTGGCTAGCCTTCTGTTCGCATCCAAATTGCGCCAGTATAGCTGGATGTTCATGTCCGCAAATATGGTAGTAATATGGCAGTTGCCCTGTCCCCACAGTTATGGCCCTTTACCAGTTATAAGTACTTATAATCCCATTTGTAGATATTTGTAGAATGCATAGTCCCATTTATAACCAGTTATAACTAATTAAAGGCCATAACTGTAGCTGCTTACCGAGTATATTCCCACAAGTACTGACATGTGAAGTTGAGGGGATGCTATCCCATTGATTTTCCAAAATAAAGGTGCACTCAGATTTGATCCGAAGGTCCAAAGTGAATGCATCCAAACATCGGAAAACACCTTAATCCATTCTTCCCGATTCTTCCACATTACAAGCAAATTTACAAAGGTAGTGGATTTGGAGGCTAGGAGGCTCACAATGTTTGAACATACCCGCGTTAGAGTGACTAGAACTGGTCCTGAGAAGACCTGGTAAATCCATGTGTATCCTATCGCAAAGTCACGCAATTTGGGACCTTCTTCACCCTTTGGCTTTGACAGCAACAAACCTACAACCAGAATCAAATATTTTGCGAAGTCGACCTTCTTGAACTCTAAAACCAGCTGTACATATTGTGTATTGTATATACATATATGTATACATAATTTACAGCTGCAATTCTGTACATATATGAACATATGCTGCTTTTTATTTCCAAAAATATGGCTTGACATCATTGACATCCCAACATTCAAAGCATCCCAATCCTCAGCTGCTCTGAAAATGAAGCAGTACCTTCTTCGCCAGCATGGCATCCAGTCGCCACAAGCGCGATTCCCGTGATGGCTCGCATGATGCGAGAGAAGCTGTATAGGACTACAGGAAAACACGAGCTGGTGAAGCCCTGAAAAATGGACTGGTTTAAGGGAACATTTACAGGAAACCGTGTTGTCTAACGAAAATTTAGCAGAAACCCCTTTAAAAAAAAAAAAAACTCCCACCATCCAATTCATGGTTTTTGACGCTTTGGTTTTCAACAGCCGTCAGTTTCGGTATGGTTGACGAATGGGCAGTTGGGCGAGTTGGACATGAGGAATTTCACCGACGCGAGTTGAGCTTATCGACGTCCAGTGACAAGTTGGATGACTTGGGGCACGCAACAACGAAATGTTATGCTCAACCGCAATGTTGTTCTAGGATGTTTTTAGGAACCAAGCTCCCGGTTCCAAACACTTGAAATAGAACTTCAGAACCAAGGGCAACTTGAGTATGAGAGTATGCCACGCACACTCAGAGAAAAGCTCCCCGTCCCTGTTTAATGCAAGCAACTATATAACTGTTCACAAAGAGATGACTGAGTACCTCTGGTAACTCAACATAACTATACAGCATCACCATGTTCATGGGTAAATCATTCGTAAATACAATGTGGACCCTCCCGGTTATGAGTTGGTTTATAAACCCCATTAACTATAGTTAGTATGATAAACCATAGTGATTGGAGTTATGTTCACCAACTTATTTACCTAGGCTCCACATAGGCCATGTCCATAGCTATGCTTTGTTTACTGGGTATAGTCATTGTCACTGAGGCACTGTCTCAAACCATGTCCATGGATTCGACCCCCCAAATATCACGAGTGGGTTTCAATAAGGCGATGGTAAACCGTGACATTTTCATACAGTTTGAGGTCAAGGAGTTTCGGACACAACCATTCTCCAATTGGTCCAATGCCATAGTTGCCATAGTTGCCATAGTTGCCTAGGGGGAATGACTTCTCAACTCCTCTGTTACTGCTGTGGGAGGACACCCAAACTGGAGGCAAGGACAGCACGTCCCATAATTAAGACTAACATGCCCCACCAATGCCTCCAAGCCCCAGTCAAGCTCCCTGTTGAGTACCCTCTGGCAATTTGACATAGCTATGGAAAATTATCATTTATATATACAGTAATTAGGTGAATAATCCATAAATGGACACTTTTTCCATAGCCATGATAAATTATCAGAGGATACTGTAGTCCCTGAGAACATGTGAGAAACAAACATCCAGAATACAACCACAACGCAACAAATCAAACCCGAAAAAAAATAATGACTCTGCAGTTAACGCTATAATAGCTATCCGAGTATCCCAGTTCAGCTAACAACTTTGTGAAGTATTTGGCATCACCATTCATACTCATGTTTTGTAGGTAAGTCCATATCTGTAATCATGTTTACACGTTATCATCCCATGTTCCCCAGTAATTTCACAATGCAATTAAGACTTTTTGAAGGTTTCAACTCTGAACACCAAGACGTCTGAAAGTCAGGATCATCATCCCCATCTGGTTGGTGGTATACCTACCCCTCTGAAAAATATGAGTTCGTCAGTTGGGATCATGACATTCCCAATATATGGAAAGTCATAATCCAGTCATGTTCCAAACCACCGACCAGCCATTTAGTTCGTGGATTTACCCATTAAAAACGGTGGTTTTCCCTGTGTTCAACATCCCCACACGGGTTAAACTGTTGAAATCCCCCCATGAAAACGGCCTGCACTTGGCCATCCCCGGTGCGTGTGCCGGTGCCTTGATGCACTTGGCCATCTGATCTTCGCGGATCTCGTTCTGTTTGGAGACGATCTTGGGGCAAATCACCTGGGGTTTCGACAATTTTGGGGGATCTCTGGATCATAGCGACTGGAGCTGGATCAATTGGCCACCCAGAAACTATGTTTGAATCTGTTTGAATGTTGAAACATAGCATGCATTAGGATGTTCTGAACAGGATTGTTTCTGGATGTTTTATGATGGTTGAGGTATTCACTGAATCTATGACAATTCAAGACCTAACTTGTCATCCCTTCGAAAAATACTTGGTTGAGAACGGATTTTACATAAAGGGTCCCAACAATTTCCAACAAACCAGGTCTAAGGTAGGAAAAGCCCTAGGGTTTTGGTCACAGATGAATGACCTCAGATAGCTTCCATGTCGAAAAAAAATACATTGTATACACCTTGTATACTCAGAGCTAAATCTGGACCTATAATTACAATACATAAATGCCACAGAGTTTCCACATGAATACTTTAGGCCCCCATTCCCATCCATTCCCTGAGTGGGTTCCCTTGGGTTCTCCTAGGCGTGCAAAAACGGCTTCACAGATTCGGACATTCCCTGAATACTGGACCCTTACTTTCAATCATAGTCATCATGTATCTATATATAGTAGATATAGATACATCTATATATATATATATACAATTATATACATACGGATGTATACACATATGCACAATGTATATGTAAAGTTTGTACCTGTACCAACCAGCAGTCTCGTGACTTCGTTGCACGATCTGTTGCAAACGCGCGGATCTCCTACAATTTTGCCCTCTAGTTTTGTTTGTGGGAATCTTATGTTCACCCATCTACAGCAAGCAGAGGGCCCCGTCATCACAAAGAAATATTCACAACAACACATTATCTAGCTATAAACTAACTTAGATGAATATATATATATATATATAGATTAATTTAGCTAACTGTGGCACACCAGTTTGCAAACAAATCCTACATTTGCCAAAGCTAAAACACTGAGATCATTCCCCGGAGCCGCTCATCAGGTTTCCCGACCCGAAAGAGCCGCTCGTTGCGAATGCCGATCTCATGGTGAGTGTAGATGATATCAGCCAAAAGCCTAAGTGACAAAGCTGACAAAGCTGACAAAGCCCCCTTTTTTTTCAGGTCATCATGCAGTGATTAGGGATCATCACCACCTCTATTCTGCCCGAGGGATCATTATCTTCCTAATCATCTCGCTATGATAATGATAATAATATTCATAATCATCTTCATAATGTCATAATGTTCCTAATCATCTTCATAATGTCATAATTTTCCCAATCATCTTCATTTCTTCATATTTTTCCTAATCATCTTCATAATCATCGTCATAATGTCATGATGTCATAATGATTCTGATCATCATCTTCATCTATTCTCCACCATCATCATCATCATCATCATCATCATCTCACTTGGGATCCATTACTCACCCAGACCATATCCAAATACGTCCGATGGATCGGCAGATTCTCCACCGAAGCAGAAACCCAATGTTTTCTGGCGCGTCTGAAAATGGAATGTACCACACAGGGGATTCAACCCCACAGTTATGGCCATTAATTAGTTATAACTGGTTATTTCTATGGGACTATACATTCTACAAATGGGATTACAAGTACTTATAACTGGTAAAGGGCCATAACTGCACAAATGGCTAAGTCATCTAATTCTAATCGAGAAACAATTGTTCCTTTATGACGAGTCAGTCAAATTTTGGTGGCACCCTGGTATAGAGAATTTCAGACAAACCCAATTGACCTCAAAAGAAAGCATGTCTCAAACACAAGGACATCACGGACGTAGCAGACCTTGTTTTGAACCATGATGATGATGATGAAATATACATAGATATGCATAGATATGCATAGATATATACTATGTGTTCGCTGATACTAAGGATCACATGCCCGACCATGGAAGTATGGCCAGGTCACCAGCTCACCGTGGATTCCAACTCACCATTTCCATGTTGCATCCAAATCCATGTGGATAAAATAATTCACCCAACAAATAAAACCGCCATGTTATGCCATTTTGGTATAGTTACCCCAACCCTAAAACCCTTCACCCACAAGGTACAGATTTACGTCCCACTGAGGTTGTTGTAATCCATCCAGATCCGTGGGCTGACTGGCCATGCACCAAGAAACGACACGGGAAAGCGGTCGATCTCGTCAATCACCCGCTTGGCAGCGATCTGAAACAGCAAGTTGTCACTGTCCTGACATGTGCAGCTGTGTGCGACATGTGGAGCATATGTGCATTCCTCCATTGTAATATGTTTGTATGTAAATATATATATATATATGTATATGTATATGTTGTATATATATATATAAATAAATATATGTATATATATATATATATCTGTATATATATATATTATACATATCTATCTGTAATGTGTATATATATATATTATTCACAGTATGTTAATACGTGTATATGGATACATCTGAAAAGACAAGGTGTTGGATCCTTCACTGACACCCCAAGCCTGCAAAAGCTTGAAACTTGAAGCCTTTCCTACAGGAAGGGGCCTCGTTTAGTTAGCTAACTTAGGTTATAACTATTAACTGTAAAACTAAGCTAATTAGGATCCATGCTTGGATATATATATATATATAATTATATATCATTACAAATCTAGATTCTAGATAGTTCGATGGGGGTGCCCTGCCCTTCCTTTTTTTGGGTCCCCGAAAGCACCCAGCACCTCCGTGTGCACCGACTGAAGATCTCCGGTGCGCTTCTGGAAACGCGCCCGCGTCACCGCCTTTGGAGGAAGCCGGGTCCTGGACCCATGGGACCTGATACCAAGCAGGAAATAACATGTAGCACCATGGTATATCATGGTATAACCAGTTATATATTGGTTTTATCATATCCAGGTATATATTTCTATGATTAACCATGGTATAACCAGTTATATATTGGTTTTATTGTGGTTAATCATAGAAATATAGCTGGACAAGCAGTTAATAATACCAATCTTATCATTGTATAGCTGGTTGGTTGTTGAAATACCCCTGTGAAAATTATGAAAGTCAGTTGGGATTATTATTCCCAATCTATGGAAAAATAAGAAATGTTCCAAACCACCATCCCGTGTACCCTCTGGTAATGACTAACATAGCTATTGAAACTTGCCATTTATACTGGATTTATCCATTAAAACTGGTGATTTTCCATAGTTGTGTTAGTTTACCAGAGGTTATAAAAATTGGTGGTTGGTGGTTACTGTATAAATGTAAATATTGCCACATATCTAAAGATATGGGGAGGTCAAGCGGATAACTTAATACTGTCTTTCCACAAACAAAAAATGTTGGGAGATGAATTTTCAGTGACCAAACTGTCCCAAAAGGACTGAAGACACATGAAGAAACCATGGCGCACATGTATTTGGAACTTGGAACTTAGAGGCGCCATTCAAACGGCATCAAGTACCAACAATTGGTTACAATTGGGATGTGGGTGTGACTGAAAATGGGGCATACCATGATACCCCAAAAATAGCAACTTTAATGTGGAAACTGATGATTATATAATATATAACCATCATTTTGTTGGATTTCCGATGTTTTAGACAAACCTATGTAATGCGATGAAACCACGGAGAAAGAAGGAAGGCATTCGAGGCTGAGTTGGGCAACAGAGCAGTACTGTATGAGGCATGAAACCCACGATGTCGTGGGGATATGATACCCCTATGGATCCAATCCCACTTCGTCTTCAGTATGATTGAGGGGGGTCAATACCAATCTCACCATTGTATATACCTGGTTGGTGGTATACCTACCCCCCTGAAAAATATGAGTCAGATTGGATCATCATCCCAACTATTGGGGAAAAAAATGTTCCAAACCACCAACCAGTATACCATGGTATTCACGGTGATAGTCCTCGCATCCACTTGGAATCACTTGGATCCCCGGTCACTGGGAACATCGCCACCATCGCCACATCCACATCCACTGGGTCTGCCCGGCCCACAAGATGTGAGTCAGCCCTTCATAGGACAAATCGTGGACACGTCGACCCTTGTCTCGAACCAACTCCTGCAGGTTTCTGGCAATGGGAACCATGGGAACCTCGACAACGATCAACTGGAACATGCTGATGTTGTTCTTATACCATCTTCATAACTCTTGATGGGCATAGAGTAGTTATATTGCAACAAGATCATCATGGATGTGAACATCCACAATCAAGAAAATACAAGTCCAACGGCAGAGTGGGTCCCCCAGTTCTGTTTCTTACCACTCCATCGAACTAGTTCGAATATTCCCTGGCAAACCCAGATATTGTATAAACCAAGCAAACACAAGTTAACTATCTAGGAAGCCCACCTCGTACACAACAAATCCTACAGTATGCATCTCCCGCATCCCAGTCCTTCACTACATGAGTGACTGCCTGGCAGGGTGGGATCATAGGCTACAGTACCTTAGAATCCAATGGTCGATCAATATGTGCTCTCTGAGATGGCCGTTATTTCTGAGATCATTTTTTGGACAAACCCATATAAGAATTACACAAGAATCGCAGTTTCTGGTCTCTCGGATTTATTTGGCGAGCTCAGAGTAGATGCCAGGCAATAAGCTATACCTCCCAAACTATTTGATCTGATGTTGCCAGCTCTTTCATGTGTGTTGATCATGCTAAATCCCTACTCCTATATATGAATCTTGCCAAATCCAATTGTTCATGAAATCCATCAATGTTTCCTAGTGAAATCTCATTTTTCCCACTTTTTCCCAGAATCAGTGTGAACCCCAGAACTTCCCGGAACCGTGATCCGCGTGATCCGCGGCCGCGCGGTGCGACCTGTCGATGCTTCAGGATCTCCTCCCCCTTGCCGTATCTCGCCAAGGACCACAGGAGCTTGGCCGCGGAGTCCGCGCTCCAGTCGCTACTCTTTAGGCGACCTGATGAATGAAGCCATGGTGATTTCAATGAAGCCATGTTGGGAGGGCCCCCATATTTCAACGACCACCATCATACTGTATTATGTATATACATATACAACATTACATATCAGAACATATCATATAATATTATAATATATATATATATGTAATACTATAATATTATATATATATATAATTTTGTGTATATATATGTATACACTGTTTAGCCACCCAGCAGTGCTGTCAGTGCCGACCGTCCCATCCCCCATGGACATCCGACTCAAGGAGTTCGCAACAGCACCTGACAGGGCGACACGTCATGAAAATCCAGTGTTCTATTCTCGGATGGATGTGATGTGATATATATGGATATATATGGACATATATGTGTATATATATATGTGAAAATACAGTTTTCTATATATATATATGGATGGATGTGATGTGATGCGATGCGATGTGATGTGATGTATGAATATCATTGAATATCTAAAAAAATATGATGGGATAATATCAGTGAATATGGGATTTAAGTGACGAGACTTAATCAACCAATATTAACATGATTATGCAACTGTTTTCCTGATGCAGGGGTGGTGACATGAAACACTTGAACATAACCCAACAATTGAGAGCAACACTACCAAGTGCCATTTGTTTGGATGACCTGAATACTTTTCAATGGGGCCATGTTTTCAATTCAATCCAACAATATATATGAATGAACTGCCCATGTTTGTGCATACATTTCACCGGTTTGTTCTTGCTAAATCGCCATCTTTGTTCAATGATCTGGGTTTGCCATGAAAATCCTCCATCTATAGACCCATTTATAGGTGATGTTTCAAAGCAAAAACATGCTTCAACTAACCACGCAGCTATCAAAATGGAATTAGATGTTGGTAACATACTATATGTATACCAACATCTACCAGTACATACTACACATCACAGGATGGTGCCCCCCAGTTATAAGCTGGTTTATAAACCCCATTAGCTAGTTCGTTATATCTGCCATAAACCATGGTTATGGGAGTTATGTTCACCAACTTATCTAACTATGGGGCACCACTTTGCACTTTAAATTGATTTTTTAACATGTTATTTCCAAATGGCACCCCAGTTTCCCGGCGCTAACTACAGTAACGCCTACGCTCATGGCAGCATCGCCCCGTGCGTCGTCCGGAAACTTTGCGAGGGCTTCGGCCTTGACGAAGCACACAGTTATGGCCATGGCTATTGGTTATAACTGGCTGTTTCTATGGGATTATACATTCTATAAATGGGGATTGATTAGTTCTAAATGGCTATAAGTGGGATTATACATTCTATAAATGGGGTTTTGTTAGCACTTGTAACTGGTATCTGGGCCATAACTGCAGCTCAGAGGCAAGAACTGATCCCCCCGGGAACAAATGTTCTGAACTGCCAGGGTGCAAACAAGTCTGGGCAAATGAAAACTGGGGAGAGAAATCTTGGCGATTGTTTTTCATAGCTATAGAGATAATATTTGAACTGGACATGTTAGCCACTTTTAGGGCAACTGATGCATTATAGTTGTTCATTGTTTTATCCCACGTTACCAAGGGAACAGCTTACACTATGTCAATTCCACAATGACTACTTTTGGTTTGATTCCCCCAATCTCAATCGCCAGAAGTTGCTGAGATGACATGAGCTAAGTGGTTATAAATGGGATTATACATTCTATAAATGGGGTTATAAGTACTTATACCTGATAAATGGCCATAACTGTGGATGATATCCAATGATATTTCGGATGATATCCAATGATATCAAATTCTGACGCTTTTGGTTGTTAGATGTTGTTAGCCCCCCGAATCGTACCATGAAACCTGGAATAGATCCCAAGGAAACCATGAAACGTATAAGGATTTCGTGCGGATTCTACCTTCAAATCAATGCTGAAAGGTAACAGAAAATCAAGTTTTGGAAAGCACCATGTCCCAGGTGATTTTTTTCCAAACATATAAACATGATGAAATGAAACAATATGAAGTCTGTGAAATCAAACACAAAAGAGCTTGCAGGGTTGTCGGGCAATCGTTCAGTTATGTACTGTAGTTGTGTGGAGGCATGGTTTGGACTGGTGCTTTTGAAAGGATCTGTCCAGAATAACACATTGGCCACTAGACATGGTGATTCACTAGACATGGTGATTTTTCATAGTTATGTTAAATTACAAGAGGGTATTCCATGTGTTGGATGGGAAACATTTAATGGATATACTGGTTGGTGGTGGAATAACCCTTGAAAATATGAAAGTCAATGGGAAGGATTATCGATATATGAATGGAAAATAAAATTCATGTTTGAAACCACTAACCAGAATAACAGAGTGGCCACTTCTCAGTTGCTCAATGGCTTTGACTGAAAAGAGGTCACCAAAATCCAATGTTCTTTGGACGATCGCCTAATTATATATATATATATTACATAGACAACATGTACAATATTGAAAGCAAATCCTCTATTTCCGGACAAACACGGATATGTAACATGTTGGTCCATAATGTTTTGCTTTCATATTTCTGCATATCCATTCATATCCCCAGTATAATATGTATTGTATATATATATATATGATACATATATATGTATATATTTATTTATTTACATATATAGACGTGTATACATGGTCAATCTTGGATGCCTGCAAAACAAATCAGTTGACTCGTCTATATTCTACCATCAAAATAACACAAAAACAGGTTGCACTAAACTAGCCACCAGCTGGTTTCACCAGTATATAAATCCTAAATGATAGTTGCTTCCATCGCTACCACGTTTGTAGGGAAACCCCAGCATCGACCAAGGGGCTGCGCGGGAGATGTCGAACATGTCCATATTGGCCGGCGGCGCCTTTAAGATCTCCTCATGAGGATGTCACCACCAAAAGCGACGGTCGCTGAACCTGTGGAGTTTCAAGTAAGCCATGATAAATTGCCATCCCATGAAATACAGGTTGGTTGAAAGGCGAAGTATGGGGTTGTGTTACTTTGCACTACCTGCACTATAATACGAACCGTAAGGATAGAAGATATTCCACAGATATGTCATATAGAAGTTGCCATTTTGGGGTCCAAAAAACACCAACCACATAGAAGATAATGTGTGTTGCAAAAGTTGTCCTAAACAGGTTTTTGTATTTGTTTGGGGGTTTCCAGCCACATCCAGTTTTGCGCATAAAATTGGCACTAAAAAAGAAGAAACCCAATTCCAGGACAACCGTTTCGAAGGTGAACAATCCATCAATTAGCACCAATTCCGAACACATAGAAGTCCAAACCATATGGAAATAGACTACTTTCAAATCCAATTCAAACAGAAGATATTCAGGAATATTTCAATTTGTTGTTGCAAGAGTTGTCTCAGTGCTGGCTTCCGGAAGGTGATGTTGGTCTTCCCTGGAGCCCGTTTTACATATTATCTTGTATATAATCTGTTCTGGAGGTACATCGACCGTACAATTCATATAGAAGTTGAATTTCCTGAATATACTTGGATTTTCAATGGATTGGTTTAAGGGAAAATTTACAGGAAACCATAGATTTTCCCATTAAATATGGGGCTTTCCTGCAGATTTCCCCTTGAACCAATCCATTGAGATTTGGATTATACTTGGATTTGGATATGGATTCAAATAGTGAATGACATTAACCTATACATTAACCTTGATGACCGTATTATACTTGGGCTTGGATCGCACTTGACTTGGTGAATGAGTGGGAGTCCCAGCCAGTTCTAGATGGGCCGTACCAAGTTATAGATATTATTATAGATATATAGATAGATAGGTAGATAGGTAGATAAGTAGATATCGTTATATTGTATTAGATTCTCATGCACTTGCCAACTGGGATGCACTCTCAAGTACTATGGTAAACTTATGAAGAACCGAGCCAGCTACACATTGGAAATCTTTAAAATATTTATTTTTTCATTTTTTTATCATTTTGGTTATCATTGCATTCATCATTTTTTTGTCATTTATTTTATCATCTTCATTTTTTTTAATCATTTTTTTAATTTTTTTTATCATTTTTTTAATCATTTTTTAATCATTTTTTATCATTTTTTTATCATTGTTTTAATCATTTTTCATCATTTTTTCTTCCATTGGTGCAAACATTTTCCAAGAAATGGAAAATTACAATTTTCCGAGTTTTTTTCATTTTTTTATCATTGTTTAATCATTTTTTTTATCATTTTTGCTTCCAGTGGTGGAATTGATGAAAAATGATAAAAAGTGAGGAAAAATGATGAAAAAATGATAAAAAAATGAAAAAAATGAAAATAAAAATAAAAAAAACGAGGAAAATTGCAATTTTCCAAAAAATGACAAATTGCAATTTTCCTCGGGTTTTTTCATTTTTTTTTCATTTTTTTCATTTTTTTTTCATTTTTGTTTCATTTGTTTTTCATTTTTTTAATTTTTTATTTATCATTTTTGCTTCCAGTGGTGGAATTGATGAAAAATGATAAAAAATGATGAAACATGATAAAAAATAAAAAAATAAAAAAATGACAAAAAAATGATAAAAAATGATGAAAAAAATGATAAAAACAATGAAAAAACATGAAAAAAAAACGAGGAAAATTGCAATTTTCCAAAAAAATGAAAAATTGTAATTTTCCTCGAGTTTTTTTCATTTTTTTCATTTTTTTTTCATTTTTTTTTTCATTTTTTTTTATTTTTTTTTCATGTTTTTTTCATTTTTTTATTTTTTTTTCATTTTTTTATCATTTTTGCTTCCAGTGGTGGAACTGATGAAAAATAAAAAAAATGATGAAACATGTTAAAAAAAAGATCAAAAAATGACAAAAAAATGATAAAAAAATGATTAAAAAAATGAAAAAAATGATTAAAAAAATGAAAAAACATGAAAAAAAAACGAGGAAAATTGCAATTTCCCAAAAAATGAAAAATTGTAATTTTCCTCGAGTTTTTTTCATTTTTTTCATTTTTTTTCATTTGTTTATCATTTTTTTATCATTTTTTCATCATTTTTGCTTCCAGTGGTGGAACTGATGAAAAATGATAAAAAATGATGAAAAATGATAAAAAAATGAAAAAAAAATGAAAAAACATGAAAAAAAATGAAAGGAAAATTGCAAGTTTCCAAAAAATGAAAAATTGCAATTTTCCTCGAGTTTTTTTCATTTTTTTAATATTTTTTTATCATTTGTTTAATCTTTTTTTTATCATTTTTTTAATCATTTTTTTATCATTTTTTTAATCATTTTTCATCATTTTTTCTTCCAGTGGTGCAAAAATTTTCCAAGAAATGGAAAATTACAATTTTCCTCGAGTTTTTTTCATGTTTTTATCATTTTTTGATCATTTTTTTATCATTTTTGCTTCCAGTGGTGGAATTGATGAAAAATGATAAAAAATGATGAAAAATGAAAAAAACAATGAAAAAACATGAAAAAAAAACGAGGGAAATTGCAATTTTCCAAAAAATGAAAAATTGCAATTTTCCTCGAGTTTTTTTCATTTTTTTTATCATTTTCTTATCATTTTTTTATCATTTTTGCTTCCAGTGGTGGAATTGATGCAAAATGATAAAAAATGATGAAAAATGATGAAAAAAATGAAAAAAATGAAAAAAAATATAAAAAAATGAAAAAAACTCGAGGAAAATTGTAATTTTCCATTTCTTGGAAAATTTTTGCACCACTGGAAGAAAAAATGATGAAAAATGATTAAAACAATGATAAAAAAATGATAAAAAATGATAAAAAAATTATTAAACAAATGATTAAAAAAATGATAAAAAAATGAAGATGATAAAATAAATGATAAAAAAAAAGATGAATGCAATGATAACCAAAATGATAAAAAAATGAAAAAATAAATATTTTGACCTGGCCCAGTCTGTGGCTGCAAGTTTTTCATAATGGTAAACCAACAAAACCATACCATTAAACCCATTTACCAACCATTTGGGGGTTGTTTACATCATCCCAAATAGGAGTAAACTGAGTAAACCTTATAATACGGTGGTGGGGCCCCCAAGATAGAAGTAGATTTACAAGTAACTATATTAACATATACTATCTAAAATAAATTTCTCATTGCAGTAAACTGGCGTCGTCCTGGACCCGTTTGCAGAGCTGGCGTACCTTGGGTGACTGGCTATGGAAGAAATGCGAATCAGTTGGTAGATCGGCACCATTTATTATTACCCATGACGGATCCATGTATGGTATATATTTGCTAACATTTGGGGTATATTGATGGTAAATGTTACCATATATAGCATACATGGATCCTATGGGTTAGAGCATTCGCTGTCGAACTTGCAATCTTGGAATAGTGGGGGTTCCAAATCCTTTGAAAGTGACCATGTAGACGCTCTATATAAAGCGTACAATACCGGTGGACAGCTACTCTGACGTGCATAGGGATAGTGAACATTGACAACAAATTATACAGGTGGTAAAAATGATGCTGTACGTACGCGCTCTTCAGAACATCAAGGCCGACAATGCATACGTTGGGAACGTCCAAATCATTGACATGATGAACCTCGTGCCTGTGATGGAGAACGTGTACGGAAAGATGTGTGTGTATATACATATATATGTTTAAACCTTTCCCGAAGAAACAGCATATCCCATAGAAACCCAGCTTCAGTATCGGATATAGTTGGGATGAAGTCCCTGGTGGGGGACTTCAACTTATATATATATACATATCTTAATACTTGAGCTTGGGGGATTAGATTACTTCTGACGTTCATGGCATTGGTGATCAGAATACTGTTGTTGACAGTATACAATAATGATCTTGGAATCTGGGATACTTCTGACGAGTCTGGTTGATTCGGAAGAAGTGAAGTATTCTTTTGGGCATGGAGCAAACTGCTGTACCCAAAAAAACAGGATGGCCTACTTGGGGGTGCAGTTGAGCTTACAAATGGGTATAGCCATGCTTAACCCCCGTTGAAATCAACAGGAGGTACTTGGGATGACGATTTTACAATGGCTAAAGCCTGTGAAATGGAGAGTTTTGGACAAAAACGTAATGCTTTTTTAATTGGTTGGTGGTATACCTACCCCTCTGAAAAATAAGTATGAAAGTCAGATTGGATCATCATCCCAACTATTGGGGAAAATAAAAGCAATGTTCCAAACCACCAACCAGTTAACTGTAGAATGGGTACCCGGAGTGGACCAAGGCACATGCGGTTGTTTGAAGAGATCTTCCCGCAGCTTGAAGGAACTCTTTTTCGCCATCGTGCACAAGGCCTTGGGGACGAGCCAAGGAAACAGCCACCTGTCTGAACGAATGTTGGGGAAACCACCAAAATGCCAGGCTTTCGAAACATGATCCTATCGTGCAATGACTTTTACAAAAATCGGCGATGCGGCTATGCCACAATTTGAAAAAACCCACAAAGAATAAGGATTTCTGATGCAGTCGACTGCGAAAACAATCCTCAGGGAATGAGCAAAACTTTGTCCCACCATTCCCATAACAAATCACACAGTTCTGTCCTGACATGTCTCACAATCAAAAAGTGAAGGTCCATACTCAATGATAATATGACTAATTATATATATGTACAGTATATGATTGGAGTATTCTCAGTATTCCCATTCATATATATATATGTTATATATATATCCCATAGGATCCATGTATGCTATATATGGTAACATTTACATACATTTACCATCAATATACCCCAAATGTTAGCATATATACCATACATGGATCCTATGGGTATATATATATGCTTTATAAAGCACAGCCAAAATAAATCTTCCCGTTACGGCTCCGAAAGACTTTTGGCATAGAAAACGACGAGGATTCATGGGGATTTTGGCAAGCAGTTCATCAAAATCCCCATCATTCACTTGAGTCAAATTGAATGTCATGCACAAATTAGGGTCGTCCCCTATCGGTTGTGAAGGTTTTGTGCAACCTCGGTTGGCGGCCAAGGCGAAGCAAAATAAATTGTCGCTTACTCAGATGGAAAATTACAATTCTCGTGAGATTTGAACGTATGTTGACGTTCAATGTGTGATGATCATATACCCATGACGGATCCATGTATGGTATATATGCTAACATTTGGGGTATATTATGTATATTGATGGTAAATGTTACCATATATAGCATACATGGATCCTATGGGATACAGTAATTGATCATCCAAATCCACTGTAAAAATTAAACTAATACCAACTGTGTAGTTTTCAATGCCGTATAAAAAAATCAATGATACGCTGGTCAAGACACTGCACATCCAATTGTTTTTGGGAACACCAATGCATCTTTCGCTCAATGTGTGTAGTTGACAGCAGGGCCCCGCACCTCAATAGCCACTACAGGGGAGAAGTTCTGTCCTTTCTCCTGAGAGACGAGCAGTGAATATGATCTACTACGTGTGTTTCAGGTTTTCCAGAAATATAACCCATGACGGATCCATGGTGCTGGTTATGCTAACATGACTGGGGTATATTGATGGGATCCATGTTACCATAGATAGCATACATGGATCCTATGGGTAATGTTAACTTAACGTACATAGCTATAGATACACACAAGAATTCACCTGGTCGACCTGTTAGTTAGGGGGACGGTAGTGGCCAACAGTTCGCTGATGATATACACATTAATGACTACCCTCCAAAAGTCAAACATGACAATTGAACATCCCCTAAGGATTTGATTTCATTGGGGGAACTCATCTAATCTGGTTGGTGGTTTCCATCCCTCTGAAAAATATTAGTCAGTTGAGACCAATATATGAAAAATGAAAAGTGTTCCAAACCACCAACCGGTTAATGATGGATTTTGCAGCACGATATGTTTGATTACCTTGATTGCAAGATGGCTCCAAATCCTTCCCCCATGAGATATCCCATGAATTTCCAATGTATATCCTGAAAAATGGGAATCTACTTGGGGATACTTTCCATGGTTTCATGGCGATTAAAATGTGTTAAATGTGGCTTTTTGTCCATAGCTTGCGCTCCAAACACCACTTTTCTTCAACGTGGCACGTTGACCACGACCTGACGAACGACCCTCCTGAACGATAGAGGCGCACTTCACCGCGGAGACCGACTCCAACTAGCGGGATGGGAGAAAGCTCGGGGCTCATTAAAGGATGGGTCTATCTACTACAAATGGTACCATCTGGTTATTTAACATAACTATGGAAAATCACAATTTTTAATAGGTAAACCATCTATAAATGGGCCATTTCCCATGGTTATGTTAAATAACCAAAGGATAATTCATATCATCTGCAAACATTGGGATTTGCACGCATTTTTGTAAAATTTAATGGACTTTTTTTCTGGTATATCATCAGAAACCATTGGGATTTACAAACATGTTAAATAGTGGAGAAAGTTGCGCATAAGAACTAGCAACCAGTGACAAACCTAACGGATACCAACGGCTTGGTTGATTGAGGATATCGAACTGGTTAGATGGAGTTATAAACAAACTTATATCTGGGCCCTGGGCCTTCCTGCAAGGACATGACCAACACATCATATCCCAGGACCTTGATAAAGTCTTAAATATCAGTTTACATGGGTTTGTCTGAAAATAGTGTACCCCTAAACCCAATGGTTAATCATCATTTTCCCTATTGAATGGCAACAATTGGAGGTATACATAGGTATATCCCATTTCCAGACACACCCACATGATTATCGTTATTGATGAAGAGCAACGAACTGTTATTCTCAATCTAGATTCAACACAAAAAACAGCTGGTTAGTAAATGTATCACCATATTGATAGGACTTCAGTAGCCATCCAAGGCTTTCCCAGATATCCCACAAGGAAAATTGCAATAAAATTGCCCTAAATCTGGGTCGACATGATTACATGTTTTTTTTTTAAACAAAAATAATGGATGCAAAACAACTACAGTAATAGTTATTTGCTGCAACAAATCAATAATGTTCCAGGGGAGTTTTAATCAATGACAATAAAGGGGGTACAGCCGGGTACAGTAATGGCAATGAAACAATGCCTATGAGATGCAAATAGGGTCTTGCGACTGTATTTAGTCCCAAGATTGTCGGTGATGAACCCCTTATACAGGTGTACTCTTACTTACAGAGTCTTGGCAGAAACAAATCACAGGAGTAGGGGCATGGCAGGAAACTTACAGTATTACAAGCTGGCTCAATATGATTGTGGTTAAATATATATATATATAATATCATATAAGATTCACCCAAAACATCTCCAACATGAGGCAACATAGCCTGCTGTTGGAGCTCACTCTTCTCCACGAACTCACTCGCCCTCGGAATAAAAAGACGACTTGGCGATTGCTGCTAGCAACGGGGGTGCTTTGTTAGGGTGATCTTTCTTGGTATAACGGATTATAACACCCATGTTATGGGGCCACTAGTTTATGTTTGTTATATATCCACTGAAATTAAAACCAGAACTGGAGCCCCCAAGTATATAGGATGTAGATATATTTGGAATTGATCTTGTTTTGGGCCGTGAGAATATATATATATATGTATATGTATACACGTATATTTATATATACATATTCCCGGTAGATTGCCCAAACGGTGGACCATGCGATGGGTGAAAAAGTATCTTCAGAATTTCCAGGTATGTAAATGTAAATATATGTTCCTATGTCAAGCAACCTATGTATGCCTGCATATATAAATATAATATATATATAGATATAATAATATAAATGCAGTCTATAGTCCATACACCAACGTCATGCAAAAGATTAACTAACACATACAATACATTGAAATGTTTCCCAGTGTACATCATGATACATGCATGTTCATGTGTTGACCATACCCCATTTGTGTTTGTCTGAAATTGTCTGAAAATGGGGTACTCCCAATCTCCAAAATGCAAGGATTTATCATCATGTTGGCTATTAAACTTAAGTTGGTGATGTATCCCAATTTATGTCCCAATGATATCATATGAACTCTGAAGTCTCAGGGGCAACTTGATTGTATATCTCATATCATCATATGTCATCTTGTCCCTGACATTGTCACTCACTATATTTCATATATATATATATAATAACATCTTTACTATACCCATTACCCTCTGGTAATTTAACATAGCTATTGAAAATGACCATTTATAGTATAAAAATGGTGATTTTCCAGTTCGCTATGTTAGTTTACCAGAGGGTATGTTTCATGTTTCCTCCAAATCCCGCAGGATAGTCAGCAGACTTGCAGCCCGGGTGGCTTTTCTTCAGCCACCACTGCTTGCGCAGTGGCCGCTTGCTGCCACTGTGCAAAGTACGCTTTGGGATCCATCAAGGCTGCACCTGTGGGAATCAGAGATGGGAAAACTCATGGGAACCAACATGAAGCAACGATAAAATGCTTAATAGATATCTGTGATATCATATATAAAAAAAAACACATATGTTATCCAACATCTATAAATAAAAAACAACTTTAATATTCATAGTCTTTTCATAAGATATTCTATTTAACATATTTATCTAACATCTATAAAAAGAAAAACAAAAACTTCAAGATCTATTTGATATTGGGATTTCTTCGTTGATCTTTTTGCAGCTAAGTCGTCAGTCAAGTGCCGTCGGACCAAGTTTGGTCATGATCATCCCAGAACGGGAATCCCCGGGTCATCACTTCCCTACAGACTGGTTTTGACCATGGCTATTAAGTGAACTAACTGGTTATTTCTAACTATGGGATGAGATACATTGGAAAAAATGGGGACTTATTAGTGAACTAACTGGTTATAAAACTATGGGATGAGATACAGATACATTCTATAAATGGGGTGACTTGTTAGTACTAAAAACTTGTATTTTGGGCCATAACTGTACAAATGGTGGTATGACCATCCCGAAATAAGGACATGTAAATCCAACGTTTGAACATGGCACATACAGCTGGGTACATGCTGAGAACCCAGAGCCCTGCTCATACCTGACATTTTTTAACGCCTGTTGGCAATCATGGAAGACAAAGTTTTTGAAACATATTTCCAGGACATGATATATGTGGATAATACTATATACAGTAAATTACATATTATCAAATATTATCATATATTAATATACACTAGAATTGCTGCACAAATTCGCATGTACTGAGAGTGTACCTGGCAAATTGACACTTTGTACGGAATAAGACAATAAACCAATGTGTGGTGATTTCACGTATCTGGTGAGGTCGGCCAGTGACGTCACTGTCATTCACTGTCATGCGCCAGATCTACTGTATTACTTGATCATCAGTGTAAGATATAGATCTCATAGTCTGATTTGCAGCTATGTCATATCTAAATCCATAAATCAATGCATTTTGGATTATATAACTTACATAACTCTAAATGTCAGTGTGATTTAAGTTTCTGGGTGCATCAAGTTGCATGCATCTGGGTGCATCAACTGCCACCTGATGCCCCAAAGTTGAACTGGTTTTATGACCAGTGAAACATCAATCATCGAACGAACATCCTGGAAAAGTGTGTTTCCCTATACTCTCCAAGTACATCCTGAAAAAATGGTGAAGTTTACCCCATGATCTGACAGTAATTTCACCATTTTTTGAGGGTATTTGGAGGGTCTAGTTCTATCCTAATTGGGGATACTGTCCAGAAACACATCTTTAGTGAATGTGATCACGGACCCGCCCTGCAGCCCTTGCCAGGCACCAGTTGGTTGGAAGGCTCCTGCTCTGCGAAAATGGGCTCCGTGGCAAGTGGGACAAAGAAATAAAGAATGCAATGTGGGCCCCCCTTCAGCATCCTTCAGCTGTTGGTTTATGCACCCAGTTGGAATACTAGAGTTGCAAGGTGGTGCCCCCGTTTACGATAGCTAAAATGGTGAACATAACTCCAGTTTCACTATGGTTTTTGGTTGGTGATATATCGAACTAGTTTTCATGGGCTTTATAAACCAATAAACATAACGTTTGGGGGGCACCACCTTGTAGCGTATCATAAACCTTCATAACCCATAATGAATGGAGCTTTCAACCACCTCGAGGGTCACAACTTGAAGAATCTGGTACGGGCTTAACCTGGTTGGTGGTTGACCTACCCCTCTGAAAAATGATGGAGTTCGTCAGTTGGGATTATGAAATTCCTAATATATGGAAAAAAACAAAATGTTCCAAACCACCAACCAGTAACGGAGATTTTGGGTTTTTACCTGGAATATAGCACCAACTTAATATGAAAAAATGTGTGTCTGTGAATTGGGATTAACCCGGATTTAATAAGATGAAAAATTGCATGTCATGGGACATAAACCAATAATTGTTTAATTTGGGTCTGTCTGAGAATGGTGGGTTATGGTCATCAAATGATAAGGAAAATGATGATAATCATTGTATTTCGGCAGTGCCCTATTTCCAAACAAACCCAAATGCTCAAACACGCCAACAAACTGGTTGTTGGTGGCTAATCACACACATGTCATCATGTCCTTGGTAAACAACGTCTTCTTGTACAATGCGATGCCAACCAGTTGTAAGTTATAAGTTGGTTTACAAGCCACCATTAACATCCATTAATTATAGATATCAGATTTATCTACCATATACCCAAACACATAAAGAACGCAAAAAATCTTCACGGGGAATCACTGTGAGGAAAATTTGTGCATTTCCGTGAGGCTTTGCTTCATCTACTACTGGTTGGTGGTATACCTACCACTCTGAAAAATATGAAAATCAGTTGGGGTGAATATTCCCAATATGTGTAAAAATAATCCAAATGTTCCAATTACTGGGACATTTTCCGGCAACCCAGTTTTGATTACCGGAGGCTACCTGACTTCTACGGAATGCTCTCGACAAAGCTTGACCCAAGTTGGGATGTACGTCGGCGGTACCCGTCTGTTGGGACTTTACGACATCGCTACAACACCTTGGGACTTAGTCAGTGTGAAGTTTTTGGGTCCCCTTCAGAAAACGAGCAAATCTCTGAAATTCACTCGCCATTCACAATTGTTTTTTAAATGTCAAACCCGGATTAATAAACCATGGTTTATTAATTAAGGGGGTACTCCCCAAATAGTCATAATCTGATACAAATGGTATCCCCCCAATTGAACAAGCTAGGGGTTTATTAATCCAGGGTTGACATTACACACACACACATTTCTGCATATATCCCTCAAATAGAACAAACACACAAACAAAAACTGCAATACAGGACCTGGTAGTGAAACTACATGTTCTATGGTACTGGTGGGAACGTTAAACTCCCATGCCCGACAAATAACACCCATCTCAGAAATCCCTGTTCTTTACGTAAATACAATGTCGTTCAGATTCATTGAAATGGAATTCTTAAATCAAACGTTTAATGGATCCAATGGCTAAATCCTCTGTATTGTGGGATAAAATCACCTCCAGTGCGATGGACGAATCCCCATCTGGATATCCCAAATATGTAGTTGGTTCGTACTGGTTCATGGTTTAATTCACCTTTAAGGCATAAAGAATGCGAATTATGGTGTTTCCCCACTTGCGTAGCCCTTGTCACCATTGGTTTCTATCAACCTCGACCCATCAATTGGATGACCCAAATCGCGACAGCATGCGACACCAGGATACGATGATCGTGCATAAACCCCAGCAAGTTTCGGAACCAGGTTTTTTTTGTTCCTGGATTCATAGACTCCCGAGCTGTCCATTTTCTCCGCCCTTTTGGTGCCTCCAAAAGCTTCTTCGGCGCTACGCTTCATGGCTGAACGGGACCAGGACTACCAGGGATGACACGGAGAAAAAAAAACCTGCGCATTTCAAGGTGGCCGAAAAAAGATTGGTTGAGTACATGTGGAACACGACTAGGACTGGAAACTAGTTCAAAGATATATTTGATTGGCTCACGTCAGAGGAGGTTTCTCTTGGTGGTAGCTCCCTCTTTAAAACATGTCAAACAAGTCAAATGATGATCGATGAAATTATGTAAATTTGACTTGTGCTGCAACCGCTCCAGATCAGATGAGTGCACGACTGGATATATGCCTGCATTGTATATATGTCACACAACCATGCCAATCATGTTGAAAGCAGGCACGCTGATTATGTTTTAACCAGTGCCTAAAGGTGAACAAAAAGGTTTCAACCACAGCAAACTGCATTGGCGACAGGTCAAATAGTTTGTTTGCAGGCTATATCATATGGCTATATCTGAGTAAAGTCACCCACAATACCATGGTTTCTCATAAACATACATGATTAACAATCACCTTAAACAAATACAGCCACATAATCCAACAGCACCAAACCCATGCTATCAATATCTTCCAAACATACACAAGTTTGGGGTCTCCCAACCATAGACTCAAGCGCAAGGTTTGGAAGTTTGCGAAAACATGTTCCATAGTGTTTTTTTTCAGGTTAAGATCTGCTTGACATCTAACCCGTGAATTTATTGTGTATGTATATTATATAATTATATATATATGTATATATAATGTCCAAATCTATTCCAAATGCTTTTCAGCAAGGCCACAGAGGGCAGTCAAGCAAATTCTCAGGAAGTCTTGTGAAATACTGAAATCCATCCCTAAACTACTGCTTTCCCCATTTGCATTATATGATATTCTATGATATTATATGATATATGATATTATATGATAAAATCATCAATCTTGGATGATTCAAGGTACCCAAGTTGTACTTAGGAAGGCCCCCCCCATACTCCTGATCCTATAACTCTAGGCGAACGATTCGAGGTTCCTTGCTTCCTTCCACTGGCGTATCTCGTGCACAAACTCCTATGATCGGCAGACTTCATTCCGCCCGCTGCCCCGTTTCAACAACTTTTTCACGCAGCTCCGTCGCTCTTCCGCGATGTTTGGACGCGATGTGGACCACAGGATCTGGACGATCTCTTTTTCGACAGTTCTCCAACAGCTGAGCGATTATGCTGTGGTTATGGCGGTTATGATTGGAAAAACCATGAAAAAACTATGAGAAAACCATGGATTCCACATGGAAAGAAACACATGGAACGATTGTTTTTTCAGGACAAAAATGGACCGGGAAACCCATGGTGACAGTGGTGATGATATCATGGTTGCTATGGGAATCATGGGAAACATCTTTGGGGTCTGAAAATAGGGTTCACCCAGAATTCATGCGTCTAAGTTGTTCTTATAGAAAGTGGCATTTAATAGGATATTCCTATTTTCAGACACACCCATCAAAAAATAAGGCGGAATCAGTGATCAAACTCACAATTCCAGGGATTGATTTCGGGCAACAATACTCTTCAAGAAACCAAGCACATCCACCCACATGAACTTCTGACAAGAAAAGGTGCTCTAACTATCTTCTTAGGAAGGTTCTGTATTCCCGTCGACACGGACAAGAAACAACATTCAACTACTCTTCAACAATTCCTTAATATGTTTGATGGTGAAATCACCACATGTTCTTCGACATAGAATCATAGAACAATGTTTTGTGTTGACCTATCTTTCACCACGGTTACCCAGAAACGATGATTATACTCAATAAATTTCAAGAACCTTCGCTTGTATGATTGGTAGATCTGTCTTTGCACACCACAATGGGTGAGGGAGCAAAGATGGGCACATTGACCAGCAATGACCACTCCACATTGGATTCAGCACACAGAAACAAAAGACAGATAATCTGCACAATACCAGAAAAAACAAACAACCAAACAATTGTAACCACATATTCTGGCTGAATGTCAACAATTTACTGCGCTGGTATTGTTCCTACGAAAAAACCACAATCAGTAGTAACATTGGGATCGATCATCTGCAGTGACATCATTGGGATCCCTTGAGAACATCATTGCATGATCACGTGAGTCACGCCTGCCAAGTGTCGACAAATTGCTTCGGTCACACCATCTGGTTCCAATGGTGCAGGTGACACATCAACTAGCAATTTATATGGAAACTGCACTGTTTTTATCGGTTTTTCTGGGGGCAAATAATCCATTTTACGGACATAGCTATCCGTGTATGCAAGACTTCAAGCGCGATGGAAAATTGCTCATGTCCTGAAGTCCTGGCAGATGGGCTATGTTGGTGGTACTACCATTGGTAAACATACAACATACGCTCTGGTAAACTAACATAGCTATGGAAAATATTGGGAAATCACAATTTTTAAAGGGAAAACTCACTATAAATGGCCATTTTCAATAGCTATGTTAGTTTACCAGAGGGTACATGGGTGGTCGTGATCTCAAAATTCTGATCCACAAAAAATGACCAAACAGTGTCAGACCGTACATCTTCAATGTACAAACAGTTTGTATGTGTAACAAAAATTGGATGTACTAGTAATGCGCTATTCAAAATGATAGACCAACCATACCCCAATCCGTGGCTTCATATGGTGTGCATACCACACTAACTTTCTGCCTGAAAAACATGAATTGCTTACGATTTATCATCCCATCAACCCCCCAATTCACAACCCCAAACCAGCCCTAATTTATCCTAACACATGACTCTACACTCCAAACAATTAACATGGCAATGGATGGCAATGGGACATCGCCCATTTATAGATGATTACCCATATGTTCCGAAGGTTGGGATTTTCCATTCCCATGTCCAGTTCATGGGCCCTTTCTGGATTTATACCTGCACCATTCGTGGCAGCCTGCGCCCAGGGTGTCGACGACAGCCAGTGATGAATCTTGATGAACTCATAGGGATTTCGGGGTTATTTTTTTAGACAAACCCACTTACCCTCTGGGTATTTTTTTTCATAGCGAACTGGTAAAAATGAGCCTTTTATATATATATATATATAGGTTGATCATCACAAATCATCAAAGTAAATGGGCCATGGTTCCAGAGCTCTGTTAAATAACAAACGAGTACAATTCCATAAATGTGGGATAATAATTGCTACAAAATCAATAAATCATATTTCGCAGCAAGACTGTGGTGATTTTTTGGGCCTCCAAAATAATTATATGGAGATGTTGACTGGATTTTTATGTTTTTTTTTCCATAGAGAAAACAACCAAGTTTCTTCACCATCCATTCTTGGGCAACCTTTTCGGGTTGAACCCCAATGTTGTTTTTGATTAATTGGTTGTTTTTTGAATTCATGAATGGACATATCTTGTTTTTTGAATGGATGCCAAGGCTGAACAATTTGAGGTTTGTTTTAATCACACTGTTTGTTTGGCTAAAAAAAAGTAAAGTTGGCTGGTGCATCATGGCGATGAACAGTAATTCGAGTCACTAAAAGAATATCAACATGAAATGGATTCAATGGGAATTTCAGGATCCTAAAATTTATATAGGCCTTATATAGGCCTTATATATAGTAGGTACCTCCAATTTAGGTTCCTGAAATGGCCATTGATGGATTGGTGGAACAATCGAAAAGTACCACTTTTCTTCCAACAATTAACTCGGTGATGATTCATGACACGACGTTTAACCATATTTTACCAATACCAAATATCACCATATGATATTGTCCATGGTCAACATTACTGTCATTATATGTCTATACATTTCTCTGTTTTCAGTTGGTGAACGAATAATTTGTGAACCAACGAATTTTGATCCATCTGTCTCCGCACTCACTTGCCAGGTCCAATTCATGTGGCGACAGGATGAGTCGGCAAAAAACATCCACCGCGACTCGCGACGCGGAGTTTCAAGGCTCAAGCCAAGCACAAAGACGTTACTACCCTGAAAATTCACATAGATGTGGGACATCCTCTATTTGTAGATTGCTTTCCTAAGGAAACCATGGGCTTTCCTCATCTATGCTTGTTTACCTAGGGTAGTTTCAACTGCTCCAAAGCAAAGAAGTCAAGCAGGATCGTTGTCCCATTATCAGAAATTCTAACTCATACCTGCCACCCAAGCAGCTTTGAGAATCGTTTGCACCCGAAATATTCGCAAAATCAAAAGTCAGTGCTTGCAAATGCGTTCCAATTGGGAAGTGGGTCGGGTAATGACCATATTTCAACTAATGTGTAAATATATATAATTATATACAAATATTATATATATATGCTTATATATTAGATTATATATATTTATATTGTAGATGATTACGTATGACATGTCCCCATTCTGATCATATGGTCTATGTTAATTTACCGGAGGGTACCCTCTGGTAAACCAACATAACTGTGGAAAGTAAACATACAGAAAACTATGGAAAATCACCATTTTCAATGAGTAAATCCACTATTTCTATGGCCATGTTCAAGAGTTATGTTTGTTTACCAAAGGGTAAATCACAGCCTGGATCATTCAACACTTGCTGAATGGCACAGTCGCAGGATCAGAGCTGAACTCCCTTCACAAAAAATTAAAGCCATCCCAGAGAGAAATACCCGGAGCATTGCATGGTTTCTGATAGTGTCCAGTTGGCCAATCAATGTATAAACTTAATATGACATACATATATATATAATTATATATATATAATTATATATATCATATATCATATATATATCATATATCATATATATATATATCTTATATATATATATATATCATATATCATATATATATATATATATTGAAATAAGGTATATCATAGTATGTATGTATATTTCGAAACAAAAAAACAAGTTGTGTTAAGAACCTCCAAACAAATCATCAACCAACCATTGTTTGTCAATGATATCCCCAAATTTTGGCTGGTTAAAGCCCCTAGACATGTTGGTTGAAGAACCAATTCATCGATTCTTCCCTTCAACATATCTAGGGTT